CTTTGGAGTTGACGATTATGATCATCGGTTCTTCTATATTAAGAATAATAACCGTTGTTATTATATCTGTGGGTTTGTACGAGATTGTATGGCCAATTATCTCTTTGAAAAGGGCAGAATGGAAGTATTCACAAATCCAACTTGGATTTATTGCATAAAGGAATTTAAGAACAACCCATCTGTAAAGGGATTCATTGTGGAGAAAGCATGCCTTGCTAGCATCTTTAAGAATGGACTTGTGGTAAATGCGATAAATTTTAAGGTTGATGAATACAAGTTTTTGGCGATCTAGAACAAATCAATTTTTCTTCAATTGAAGGGTTATGTACAATTTATTTACCATATCTTTGGTACCAAAAGTCGATTGATGGATTATTGGCTTAATAGAGATTCTACATTGTATATTGCTCCGATCCAAATTGCTCTTAACAAGAAAATGCATTCAGATTCTGAGGCTACTTTTTTCTCTGGGATATGGCCAGAATTAAAAATAAAGGTACAGAGTAGCTTGGATGTGAAAGTAATATTTATATGGATTACTTGTAAAAATGATGCAAACAATTTTGTCGAAGCTAATGAGAGACGTTTACGGGAAAAAAAAATTGAAATTAATCCACAATATGATGTGGTAGTAACAGAATTTAATAATGTCAACATAAACCTTGGATTTCTTTTATCTATGTAATTTATAGGAAAAGTTATAATAGTATAGGTCAAAGAAAATACACGATAGATGAAAGCTTTTGCTTAATAAAGAACATATTGGTAACAATGTTTATTCATATGTATCATTAAAGTTGCAATTGATCTTTAAAGTAGTCCTTAATGAAACAGAAAATAACACTGAAACTAAGTTTTCCTTTTAGAATTCATTGGGTTTTCAAATCAAGTAGTTTTTGTGCCCTGCCTGATCGACGAATGAAATTTCGTGAAGGAAAATATGAGATACAAATTAAATATGAAATACAGCGATACAAAAAAATGGATGCATTCAACTTATTATCGGTATTTGAAGAGTCACTTCGATAGGGTTATACTCGTTGACATCAAATACCTCTATAAGTTCTTTTTTGAAAATGTTAGTGTTAACGTGGTAACATGTATGTCAGATTTCTTTCTCGCACGGAGAACGAGAATCGCTACAGGTAAACCCTTCTTTGCTTTTGATTACTTAAGAAGGTTACCAACAGGAAGCGTAGTGACAATTTGCATGGCTACCTTCGACTTGAAACTAGTTAGAAGTTTCTAAGAGAGATTTTTTCTGTATGTAAAGTATTGATTTTGCGAATATATCATGTAAAACAACTCTTCGATTTTATTAATTAAAAGATTAAATGCATTATTACCGTAATTACTTTGATTTGATTTTTATTTTATCCAATCTTCGGGATTGATCACGAATGACGATAATTGCAGGTAATCTTTATAAATGATGTACTGCGTATTTTAACGATCTCGAGATTGTTACACAAACAAACTATATAAAGAACGATTTACTACAAAACAGATTCCTTACACTTTTTTTTTATCCTTAAAAACCAAAAAAAAAGTTTCTTATTTTCTTTCTTCGTAAATTTCGTATTTAAAGATGGAACGTACTTATATTATGGTTAAGGTAAGAAATTTATCTCTTTGATGTATCCAATCGAATTATTATGAACTACAAATATATATAATTATATATTTGTATAATTCATAGCCCGATGGTGTTGAACGTGGGCTGGTCGGTGAAATTATGAAACGTTTCGAACAAAAGGGTTATCAACTCTCGGCTCTTAAACTTGTCTCGGTAAGTATTTTGTAGTAACATTTCAAAAAAAAAAAAAAAATTACGAAAATTTTAACTAAATTATGATCAATCCTCCCTCCCACTTTTTTTTTTTTTCTTCTTTTATAGCCAACGGAACAACTTTTGGAAGAGCATTATAAAGATTTGAAAGATAAACCATTTTTCCCTTCTCTCATGACATGTAACGTATTTTAATTTAATAAGTTACTAATAACATCTTAGTGATTTTTACATTGGCTGATTTATTTTTTTGATTTTCATATACAGATATGTTATCAGGACCTGTGGTTGGTATGGTTTGGCAAGGAAAAGACGCTGTTAAAACCGGTCGTCGTATTTTAGGTGAAACTAATCCATTGGCTTCTAATCCCGGTACTATCCGTGGTGATTTCTGTATTGATAGTACGTAAATTATTTTACATTTTCTCTTTACTTGATAGTTTGATGAAGAAATCTAACTTTCTTTCTTCCCCCCCTTTTTTTTTAAAAAAAAAAAAAAAAAAAAAAAAAATAGTGGGACGTAACCTTTGTCATGGGTATGTATTTTTATATTTTGACCAAGCACAATATCCTCCTTTTTTAACCTCCCCCTTTAAATTGCAGATCTGATGCAGTTAAAACTGCCGAAAGAGAAATAGCATTATGGTTCCCTTCAGGTGTTGTAGATTGGGATCGTAAAAGAGTAAATTCATTGATTTATGAATAAATTTTATTTAAATTAGATGAAGGTGTAAGTATAGTTCACACACACTTGAATTAAATTAAAATAATAAAATTTTCAAAAAGTATATTGCATACTATAACATATCAATCCAGTTGATTTTATTTTGATAATAAAATGTTTACTAAAAAAAAAAAAGAAATGTACATAGAATATACATTATTTAACAAAAAAAATAATGATTGGTTTGCAAAGAGAATAATACGATAAATAAACTAAAAGTTAACTAAATCATAAAAGGAATCCCTAAACGAAAAAAAAAAATATAATAATTACAAAAAAAATGGGGTTGATCACACCAGAAAAGAATTTATAATCCATGTTGTTTTAAAAGAATTGTTTTACAATTATCCTAAGGATATTTTACCAACAACCGAGAGTTTAAAAAATATATATATATAAAAATAGTAAGATGAAGAAAAAGAAACGAATAAAAATTAATTGTCCTAATGTGAATAACCTTAAGAAAAATGTCAATAGTTATTATATAGTTTGTAAAATAAGTAAACGCATGAATAAACCAAATTTAATTATATAAATATAAATAATATTATTTTGTATGTTGTTCTTATTCATCCTGATCCTTTAAAAATTTTGTGTAATTGTCTCGTGTACATTCCCCACCTTTTCGGGCGTCATAGAGAAACTTGTAACAACTTCCATCCGCGCATACAACTAATCGAAATAACAAAAAAAATGTTTTCTTAATCATCTTGTATACAAAAACAAAAACTATTGTTAAAAACACTAACCGATCACAGAGTTTTTTTCTTGACCAAATCCACAAATGCATCGACAATCTGCCATAACTTTAAAATGCGCAAAAGACCATTCCGATGAAAAATATTTTGGAAGTATATCTTTCATAAATGAAAGGCTATTATAAAGTAATATATCAATATTAAAATCTTATATATTTTTTCAAATTCAATAAACTAATTTATTTTTTGCTCGCATTTTTTTTTTTACCTCGATTGTCGGTTTCCACTTGGTGATGGTGACGTTTTCGGATTGCTACAATAATAAAATAATTAGGAACATGATCCTTACTATAACATTATCGTTCTTTGAAACTCACTTGATGATTTCTCCATAATACGGTGCTCCATTATTGGGAGATTGGCTTACGCCATTTCCCCAAATTGCGTCCAAATTAAAGATATGTACTGTTCCTTTGTCAGAAGATACACAAAGACGCGTAGAATCTTGGTTAAACGCGATACTAAGAACATGAATAAAATTAGAAATCAAATGTAACGACAAAAATCTTATCGAAAAGTTGTACAAACCTATATATTTCCGCTCGATCAACGCCTCTTCGTAGCTCATTTAATAATTTACCAGATGAAGTGTCAAAAACTCTTATTAGTGTACCCTAAATAGATAATACAAAAAAACGATTTAGAAATTTTGAAAAAGGATTATACGAATGAATCTTAATTTTTGAAAAGCAAACCTTTTCGCTGGCACTAGCGCATTTACTTCCATCAGAGTTCAAAGATAAACAACTCAACCTTCCACTATGTGCGGGAATGATACTGACATTTGCCGTCATCACCGTTGTACTCCCACTTGAATTTATTGAATTGGAATTTTTTATCTTTGCGGAATTTGATACACTTGGTCTCCTATCCATGATTGGAAATTGTGCAGCATCATTATGACTTGATGAAAAAGAATTTCTATGATGTGGAAATGAAGAAGTGGTCGATGATGAGTGTGTAGGTAGGGTGTTAGAATTATTACTTGTAACTGCCGTAGTTGCATGGAAGGTATTGAGGTCTACGATTTGAATATGACCCTTTTGTCGACCGGGAAACGCCAATATAGCATGATTTGGTGATGACGAAAGAGCGACCAAACCTATCGCACGTTATAAAAAGATTATAAAATGCGATGATCGTTAAAGTGAAAAAATTTTGTTTTAACAACTAATTCTCTTACCTTTATCGTTATCAATCGTTTCAAAAGTGTGTAATTTCTGCGGATTAGCACTGAAGACATACACAAAAACTTTGTTGGAAAGGATAACAACGATCCTGTTGAAAATTAAATAATAGAGACATGATCCGAATATATTTGATTTTCAGAATTGATTTGATTTTTTTTTTTTTTTTTTACACTAACCTGTCCCTTCTCAACTTAACATTCTTCACTTCGGTTCGAAATTCCAATTCCGCAATTCCTTTGCCTTTCAAATCATCCCATATAATCACTTTGTTTGGTGCGTATTTTGGATTTTTTCCTCCGCCCACTAGTGCAAGATAATTACAACGAAACAACATTTCGACGATCGATATTCCACCGTCGTCAAAATCTAAAATGCAACAAATTGATAAATAAAAAAACGAGAAATTTAATAACGGGACACACAGGATCTCGGTTGCGACCTTATCAACCCAAAATAGTTTTTCTTTAAAAGCTTACCCTTTCGCATTTTTTCTTTTAGAGGATCACAATTATAAATTCTGAACCCACTATCCAACCCAACTGCGAAACAACCAAAGTCTTGATTAAACCCAGCATAAAGTAAGCCAGGGGCGTCCACAGCGGAAGAAGAAGAAGAAGGTTTAGATAAGTTCATTTTTCTTTTGAATTTTGGGTGGGGGAAAGAAAACGGTGGTTAAAGTTAAAAACCAATGAATGGTACACGAGTTTTCGTGCGGAGTAAGTAATGTATGATGAAATTTGAGAGGTTGAAGGAATGGCTAAACATTTATATAACATTTCGGTTACGCAAACACGGTACAACATTCATTTTCCGATTGGTTATAAATCAAGTCGAATCACGGACCCCACTTTTGACACTTTTTTTTATGACAAAAGATATACACCGAATTACGTTTTGAAAAATACTTGAATACCTAGCTTGATATACCATTATTTTAGTTTATGTGTGATAAATGAACGAAAACGTTTGTAAAATTCTAAAAAGGAAAGTAACAATGGTTAAACATAAAAATTTTTGATTGATTGCTAAATCTTTAAATTGAAAAAAATTTTTTACTGAACAAATTTTTTCTTTTTATAAATCTCTATGAACCCCAGATTTTTGGTCTGGTGATCGATCGATCAATATTTTTTTTTATACGTAACGCGTAACCAGTTTAACAATTCGACTATTTTATTGAAAAAATATTACTTTTTGGAGTTTAGATCATGAAGATCATGTGATTGATGTCTGCGCCACGTTGTTTACAGTCCTAACCTCTCTAAATGCCGAGTATGGGGACCTGAATTCTAAATGCGCCTTCTCATTTCTTTCATAACAGATAAGGCAAAGTTCATTCTATGTGCTCTCCTGTGAATAAAACTATAAGTTGGTCAATACTGCGCCATAAGATCATCATTGGACATTATGCGTGTTATAAAGTTAAAACCGATCATCAAGGTACTAATTAATTAAATGTTACTTTGAATGATCATATAAATACTCTCTAAATGCATGGTCTTTAGGATTGTGCATTAGGGAGGTTTGATTGTAAAAACTTTCTTCCCTTTTTATAAACTATTTTTAATACATAGATATATAAACATGTCAAAGAACAAACGCAGTATATCAATCATAAACCTTGAAGCCTCCTCTTCTGATTCCGTATCGAGTCGAAGTTCCAAAAAAATAAGGCTTACGCCTTCAAATCACGCATCAACTTGTGACGACTCCGCTTGCAAAGGTTGCGATGTGGGTGAAGTAGAAATTGTTTTCACTACCGATGAAGGTCAGGGAGTTGAACCGTCTCCAAATGACCTTCTTCAGTTGGCTTTAGAAGAATCTTCTAAAGAATCCTCAAGAGAACACGGTATCGCTAAACGTCTATTTGAAATGTCACTCGAAGGGTTTGATAAGTTAATATCATTAGAAGAGCAGAAAATAGAAATGGAAACCGTAAAAAGCAAGGAAAAAGAAGCGCGTTATCGATCCGCTACTAAGCAAACAAGATATCAATACGCTTTTTGTTGTGTCGCTTTTGGGATTTATTTGCCAATTATCGAACATTTACGTAAAGGAATAGAAATATATAAACAAATAATCATTGAAGATGATGAATATTATGATGCTTGGATAGGACTAGGGAGAGCACGAATTTACCTGGTTCATATTAAAGAATTTCATCTTTTCTCAATTTGAATATATCAACTTATCTTTTATTGTTGTTTTTAGGCGAAAATTGAAAGAGAGATGTTTCAGAATGATCAAAATGATTTATCTGACTCGGAGAATTCAAAGAAAGAACAAAAATCATCTATAGAAATCGAACAGGCTTCTTTTAATTTGGCAATAAATGCATTTGATAAGGTAAGCTATTAAATTTTTTTTTTTTTTTTGTAATAAAAAAAAAAAGATATTTATCGATTCAAACTCGATAGGGTCTTTCTATCCTTAAATCAAAAGATGAGAACAAATATGTAATCAAATCAATCCTCATAGCTAAAGATCTTCAAGAATATGCATTGTCGATTGATCATCTGAAATTTACCGGTTAATTTAATTTTTTTTCAACTTTGACTATATTATATATTATTATTAACTTATTTCATTTTTATAGCTTATATACAAAGAATATTCACCAAATTAATAAATTATCTTCAGGATATTTATGATTTAGATAACAAAAATTTAGATGAAATTAATTTCGCACAAGGAATTCATGGGTGTTGTCTATATTATCTTGCCAAATTAAAAACCGATCATAATGATGACGAAAATGAAGAATCTAAGGTATAAAAGAAATATATATTAAAATTGTTTTAAATATGATCTAAATCAAAACATTTTTTTTAATTTAAATATATTTAAGTTGCTTCTCAATGAAGCGATAGAAAAGTTATCAAAAGCGAACGAAGAGGACAGGTTCACAGAAACTGTTAATATTATTTTTTTTTTTTTTAGCTTTCTTTGCTTGTATTTAGAATATACAACTGCTAACTCTTTTTTTTTTTTCAGCTTGGACAATCGTATATATTGAAGACTATCATTGAAAGTGATGAAGAGCAAATTATGGAGGCATATGATAAAGGTCTCGAGTGTTTGAAACAAGCTTATAAGCTTGATCCAGGTATCTTCTAATCCATTTGAAATTTGTGTCCAATTGATATAACAGATTCTTTTCAAATAATTTCATTTTCATAGATAATGAAAATTTGAGAGAGCAATTGGAAACACTTGGTGCCCTTAATAAGGATGACAACGAAGAATATTTTGGATGACGATGATTAATTAACGATGATTAATTAACGATGATTAATTTATTTTCAATAAATGTATATTTAATTACGGATAAGATATTCAAAGCTTAATGGAAGAAATTTTTTGGCAATAAGTACGAATTAAACTTTTATTGATCGATCAACTATAATGTCCAAAAATAAATTTAATATGATAATTCAAAAAGCCACAATCCGCAAAAAATTTTATCCATTTTTTTTTTTTAAAAAGTTATATTTGGATATTAATATCTGCGTACAATATATAATTACCACGTGTCAAACCTTATTAATAATAATATGAAGTGATGTGTATTCTTTAATTGTTTATAAATAATGATAAGAAAATACAAAAGAACACTCTTTTACTGGATTTATGATGAATGAATGAATGAAAATTGTTAAATATTATTATCAATTTTACAAATTCAGTAAATTTCAAATCAAAGATACTTACATAGTTTAGACCCCTCAAATAATCCCCCAAGTCTCCCACAACTTTGTTGGCTGCACCGGCTGCCGTACCTTCCTTATAAACACCGATAATTACAGCTTGTGTTGTTTTAAAAGCAACCACGCCATCACCTCCCTAAAATGATGAGAAGAGAGTTGAATCAAAATTGAATTTCGTTTCAATTAATTGGAAATTCCTTCATTACCTTTTTACCATGAACGTTTGTATCATCATGAGAGAGAGCGAAATATTTAATACCATTAACATATAAACCATTAGCTTGAATTTTTTCGGCATTATTAAAAGCCTCAACAAGAGTAGTAATTTCTTCTGGGCTTAACTATTTATATCAAAGAAATAACAAGAGAAATAGCCAAACATTTAAAAGGATGAGCAAAGTTCGGTATGTTAGTCAAACCTATATTTACTCAAAAATGTTTGACCTTTTATTTTTTACTTTCGAAAAGTTTTTTCGCGTCAAAAAAGACGATTCTAAATTCGTATGGTGAATACTTACGGAGAAGCCGGGTGAAGTTGCCCACAAAGAACCGTTATGCCCATAAATAGCAGCTTGGACAATTTTACCTGTTCCAATAAGTTGGTTGTCTACGTAAGATTGCCACGACATTTCTTATATTTTCAGATGAACAGGCTTATAACAAAAAAAAAGTTGTTTAATTCTACTGTAAGGAGAAAAGCAAAAAAAAAAAAAAAAAAAAAAAAAAAAAGGTTAATCAATTATAATCTTTGGAAATCAGCAAAAAGTAATCTCCGCATTATGTGACATACAATTTGTTTTTTGCCGTGAATAAGCACCATCATTTAATTTAATATGATAAAAATTACTCATCACTTGGAACTTATTTTCGGTAAAATCCATATTAGTATTCTCGAATTTTAACTAATAACGTTTATATTATGGTTTAAAAATCGAAATTCTATCAACTTCGGCTCAAAAAATTGAATAAGAAAAAAAAATATTTTTTAGTTTATTTTTTACTTTTACTCCTTTATTAATTAACTAACAAAACTTGAATAATAATATTAATAAATAAACAAATATTTGTATTATTACTAGTTAAAATCAAGTCGAAATAGATTATCATCTCATTGGTTTAAATCTTTATCACAATCTCTCTATCACAAATTCATTGATTGATTGCAACTGATTTACAACCTTTTTCTATTATTGAAAATACTGAATTCAAATTGTTTGTTAATAAGTTGAATTCTCAATTTATTTTACCATGTAGACAAACTTTAAAAGAAAAATTTGTAAAAAATTATGATACAAAAAGAAATGATTTA